TTTTGAAAATTGATATCACTCCCTTTGTATCTGCAATGATTTCTTTGGAATTAGTTACTAATGTATTGAACCTCCCTAAGGCTTTTACAGCCACGATCCTCACTGAAGCAGCCACTTAGCTGCAAGCTACTTACTTGATAAGACCTGTGCTTGTGTTGAATTTAGTGTTGCTGAAAAACCTGAGAATCCATGCTTGTAGCTATACAGCATGGCTTGCTTCGCGTCTTTTTTGCTGTGCATGGTAAAATTTATAAAGCAAACATATAGATGGGTGAAAAACTACGATCTACAACTAGAAGAACAATGTATTAATTCTCCCAGGAGAAATATTGCTGATGATATATATACTCATTTACCTTGTAAACACAGTGCTAAGAAGTTGGAGATGATGTTTTGAAGTGAGATCAGGAGCTTTATTCTGATTGTGCCCTAAATAGACTATGTAAACCTGCGACAACAAGAGGGAAAAATAAGGATGAGACTGATCATTGCAGGAAGATATTTGGAAAAAGTTAAAAACTTTTTATAATGAATGTTACATGAGAAGTAGACACTGAAGAAATTAAATAGAGTGAAAGTGAGAGGGATAGGCCCCAAGAGTGCTGAAAAGCACGAGACATTGTTCCTAGTGGAGAATCACATGTGAGGTTGGGAATAAATAGGGTAGAAAAGGTTCATCTCTATGAGACTATGACTCGTATACATGGTTGCTAAAGGAAAGATTGTTACGTCAGTGCGTGCCTTCGAAGGATTTTCAAGGCTGCAGGAATACTGATGCACCTCTATTGTAGTATTATGATATTTTTTTTTCTTAAGATATATAGTTGAAAAGATGGAAATGTCCTTTCCCTCCTTTTGGTTCTCTCTCTTCTTGCATCTATAGACATGGTATTATAGAGCCTAGCCTCACCGTATTTCAGAAAAGAGCACAATTTCATAGAGCTCCACTATGGACAATATGAATACCTTAAAAGGAAGTACCATGTGAGCCTCATCGTTCTTTACTGTAAAAAAAATTTTCGGTATTGTTTTGCTTATAAACTTGATAACTTGGCTAACTTTGGTCCATTATTAAGTACATAGATGGACTACATGGTTTTTGGAAGATCTTAATCAACAGGTCAATAGAATGCTTTCTGATGCTAGGTTTTTTTCATGCATAGATATGGACTCTTTTTTCAGTATCTGTCACACAATTTGTTCAGGCGGGGTGCAAGACATTAGAAATCACATACGACTAAGAATACTGACTGTGAGGTGACATAATTCAGTTACTGCTACCTAATTTGTTTGTTAGCTAATTTCCATAGTAAATGTTACTCAACAATGGATTGGAAATAACATGTAAATGACTCTGTCAAGGAAAAAAGGACTTAGTAATGCTTTATTTTCTTTTGCAAACACCATGCATATACAAGCGGTATCTACCTGGTTGAGGCCATAGGGATGTTAAGTAGTCTATTACCTACCTTCCAATACATTCTACTGGGGAATGCTAGACAAAGAAACAACTTCTAGGCATACACCAATTACACAGAGTTCTATGTTAGCCTGCATAAACACATCTATCAAGTGATGAATGCCTGAAAACCTATAGCTGTCCAAGCTATACAAGCTTTCGGTGTCAATAAGCAATCAAAAGATTCTCATTTGATGAATAACTTATTCATTTCATTTCATATTTATACATTCGTAGAGCTACCCCTAGACGTCTTGTGAATTTAGCATTGATCTTTGAAGATACTTCTAAACTACAAGTATCAGGGAAGGTCTCAACCTTCGTAGGCATAGGTAACTCATGTAGTACCTATTGCAACTACATCACATATACAGGAATTGATGCAAAAATTCTTTTAATTCATACTAGGTTAATCATTGCCTAGCTAGTATGATCTTTCTTCTATACGTTACGTAAATTGAGCTCAATTCTGTTGTGTAATTGCAGAATTATCATAAGGACATTAGACTTTCGAATCACGTAAAATTCTACCTTCCAAACAAACTTCCCATCATTAAACCTTGCAAATGAACTTTTGATACAAGCTTGGTAAGGTATTTGATTCCTTTCATCTCAATATGATTGCATATTTGTGCTTCATGACTTCAATTTCACTGAAATTTAATTGTACTGAAGCAGTAAGTTTGCTTGGATCAGTGGTGATTTCAAGTGCATCATCTAGGGTTTCTGGTAGTAATCAGCATATCATTCATGGTTGGGATGGACAATGAAATTTAATTCATACTTCAGGATGGTATATTACACTGTAGATGCAGAACTAATTGAATATATTGAGTTCCAAATATGCATGTATGGCCAATCTGGATAGTTAGCAGAAAGAAAGACAAATCTCTACAAGTGTTGGACCAAAGCATGAAGCTCCTTGGAAATTTGGAACTCTTGACAATTTGCTAATGATACAAAACAGTAGCTTTGCATGCATTTGTACGAGTAGTATCCCACTATCTGAATATATGGAAAAAACTGCCTCATTCGAGAATCCAATTTTTGGTTACTGGCATAGCCATTCTTGAATTTCGAATGATATTCCACTGTGTTCGTTCTTTTATTTTCATTTCTCAATGTTGTATTTGTTGCTTGCTGTGTTTAACAGAGCTAACAGTTACTGGTTAAAAGCTAAAATTTTTTGCTTATATTTGTTTCTCTCGTCTTTTTCCAGATATTCAAACTGTTGGTAAGGAAAAACATCGCTCTAGACAATCAACTAATCACAAGAGTTACTGAAGGCCTTCTTTATAAAGAAGTAAATGTTGCCAGCAGCTGTGATACAACTTGAGTTATCAGACCTAGTTAAAGGACAGGAAATACACTTGAGTGATGAAATGTAGGTACATTCAGCATGAACGGAATGAGAGATGCCAAAACATCATCCTTCTCATGGGCATCTAATTAGCGACTTTATCTTGCATTTCTAAGTCTTCTTGGTCACCTACGAGTACTTTGGAGCAAAATCTGTAAGCACTTCATCTGTTTTGCATTCAGTTCTAACGTATTGGTTAAGCTGCCATGTCATACATGGTATGGAAATGGCCAACTTTGTGTAGTATGAACTGTTAATATAGGTTGAGCGTTTTGGCGAGAAATTTGCTGTTTATGATGGATTATCCACATTCGCAAGGTAGTTGTTGAGGAGACATATGCCTATTTGCTCATTGCAGGGATACCGTCTTGCGTCTTCCTGATTGAGAACTAGAAAATAGCTGACAACACAAGTCGTTGCACTAGTTTACACCAAGATTGGAATTTGTCAGTGAAACTTTGAGTATGGCAAAAACTATTGCCTCAAGATAAAACTAGAGAATTTCAGTGTCTTTACTTACGTTTTGTATTTGGCATGTGATAAATTGTAAGTTGGGAATTAGGCTGTCTGTGGGTCTTTCTAGGGCTAGAATGTAAAACAAGAGGGGACCTTACCTGCATCAGCAAAGCCCCACCACACACACATCTTGCACCATGGATTTCTCGAATTGAATCTTAACCTGGGATACTTCCTAGAGCCTGTCGGAAGAAAGAGAATTAGAAGCTTATCAATCATCAAGTGGGACACTGAGCTCAGGTTTCCACTGTGCACACTCTCTATTTGTAGCCATCTTTGGGATAAGCCACAACTTTATTCCAATCAAACTGGACCTAGAAAAGGAGGGGGCTGCTAAATAGGCCCCCAGGGCTGTCTATGTAAAGCAACATGATTTATGCAGTTGCAGTAAAAAACGATTTCCATTTGAAGTTAACTGTTGAAGAAGTAGAAAGGCTTTTTGCCATACGTGTTGTGATTTGGTATTCTCTATATACATCAGCAAGTTTTTCAGCTAAGACCTAAGAATGAATGATGTTAATAATATAAAACGAACTTTGTGCACGTTTTTTGTGATTAAGAAGTCGGCCAACTTAAGGAGCATGCACTAAGTTTTGTATGCCACTTCCTCTTATCAGCGCAGACCGCCTGAAACTCTACTCAATGCTGCTCTTCCCTGTTCACACAAATGATGAACTTTGATTTCTTGTAGCCAATTATATCCGAAGAAGCTCCAAGTTGCATTTATCTTCAAGACGTGGTTAATTACCACGGACCCTGTTCACTCAGTTGCCAGTCCTGAGGATGATTGTTTAATGAGTCATGTCAGTGATGAGTGACTGTGTGAACATATTACTCCTTGACTGGGATTCATCAGGGAAGTGGGTGGACAAATTCAATTGAAAATCAAGTATCAAAGAGATAATGGACCATTAATTTTTGGCAACCAATCAATCCAGTGCACACACAATACTTGTTACTGCAGGAAAGGGTATATATTATCAAAGAGATAATGGACCATTAATCAATCAAAGTATCAATCTTTGTCCCTCCAGGTTCAGGGTAAACATCACACCAGACGCTAGTCAACGCTACACATGGTCATATTAAATATTTAAACATGCCAGTGAAATTTAACAGGTTTCTGGGCTTGTTTCCCCCTGTTCATAGCAGATCAGGGGTGTGAATCTTGAGCGCTGTCAATTCAACCAAGAGGTGTCCCAAAAGTTTTGATTTAAGAAAAACATAAAAAAATGTTTTGCAATTTCAACTTGCCAGAAGACTCCAGGGACGCCCTTTGTCACATTCTCAAGTGGTCAAATCTTTGACATGCTTGATAATCTTTAGAGACTTTCGAAGAAGATGTCCTCCAACTTTACATCCCTAAATAATGGTAGCATGTTCATGCACCTGCAGAGCTATTTAAAGATGGCCCCTTGAATAGCAGTAATAATGGAAACTATTACTACAATTACCTAATACATGAGAAGATGGTATGTGTACCTAGACTCATCATTAATGATTAATACATGAGAAGAAGAAGAAGTATGAAATGGCAGGTAAGGTGGCTGCATATGCTAAAAAGTACAAAGTACCTATAATAGTACCAGTAGAGATGGCAACTTTGGGGAGTCAAAGAGGCGTGACAACGAGGATAAAAGGGACAGGGCGCACGCTAACAAGTGAAAAGAAGAGAGAGAGAGACAGCAAGAAAAAGAAGAGTAGGAGGAGAATGATGGAAAAGGATTGATTGGTGGGGATGGAAAATGCTGCAGGGGCGCACTAACCTCCCACTCCCAGTAGAGGAGTCCAACTGAAAATTGAAAAGTACTCAGCACACCAACGGCTTCAAAACAAGAATACAGTAATCAACCTAGCCTAAGCCAGGCAGGCAACCAAGTCCAACCCACCTCAACAATTCAGACCCCATCAGCATCATTGCCTTCAGCCCAAATGGAATAACTAGAGACGATTATCACTGCACAGTCATCACAAACACAAACAGCATTCAGCAAGACCTTAACTTTTGGCCATTACTCCTAATTTCTCATTTTGAGGATGTCTTGTTTGTTTTAGTGCTTTTTTTGTTCTGTCTTTTTTTTAAAAAAAATTTTTTGGGGCGGGTCTGATAATAACTCTGGAGTACTTTTGGTGAGGGGGTGTTGTTGTTGTTGTTGTTGTTTTGTTTCCTTGCATGAGTGAGTAAGGGGAGAGCGGCGTTTTGTTGGGTGGTTGGGTGGTGGCTTCTGCTTGGCATTTAGTGGGTGTATCATCACATCGTAATATGGGAAACTGCTGGTGGTTTGGCAGAAGGTGGGAGCCTTCAATCTACAGAGTTTCTTCTAATGCAAAGTCAGGTTTGGCTTTCTTCTTCTCCGTCGTTGCTGATATTTGGATTATGTTCTTTAGCTATAATATTTCCTAGAAAATGTAGAAAAACTTTTCCAGGATCCCTATACTTCAACTCAGGTTTTCCACTTGCTGCTTTAGGTTGGGAAGTTGTGTGTTCTTTTTCATAGTAAACGACACATGAGTTGGAAAGACATAATGAAGAAATAAAGGATATGCTAAAAGTTCTCTGAATGAGAAGGTGGAGGTTCTTGATAAAGTTGCAGGGTGCTAATCCTTTTAGTTTGCAACAGATCTTCTTATTTTCCCATGATCTGGGGTCCTTTTCAGAAAGAGAGGTTTTTTCAAATTGTTCCAGCTTCCCATTTAAAAACTAAAGAATGGCCATTTGTTCATCAGTGTCTGGATTGGTCGTTCTTTCCTCACCCAAATTAGCTACATAAGAGTTACCTGTATTCCAAAATTGCTGCACTGTACCTGTAGTTGGATGTCGAAATTTGTAAGTGAAGTCTTCTTTCTTCGGTCTTGTAACATGGCAAATGCCAGTCACTTTCTCTTTTTGCAACTAATTTCAACCACAATATGGTAACAAATTTGGGTCAGTCAAGATTTAAGTACTGAGCCAGGAAAGAATCTTGTCTGGATGTATATCCTTTTATAGGCAAATTACATGTTTTCCAATAGTTGTACCCCAAAATTCCTCCTTTACGCAGGAAAGCCCTTATATTAATTGCCTATTGTCCAAATGAATTGCTGGTATGAGTTAAAGAAAACGACCTCTAGGCATCTAAATTTGTTCCAGTCGCCTTGCACACGCTCCATTTTTCTACACAGCAAGTTTTAGCCCCATCATGTAGTACAACGTTATATTATGCATTCTGTTTTATCTATTACACTGACTCACCAATTTAAACTTAGCTTGTACACTTCTCCAAGTGTATTGTTGAGGTCACTTTAGTTTTTCTCAAGACTTCTCCTTGTAGTATTGGACATATTGGTAAACAGATTTGTCTTTTCATGCTCCTCTTCAGAGTCTTCCAAGGATAGCCCATCAGGAATGGTAAGGAAGGATGACAGAAAGCTACCATCAAATCCTGAAGAAGTAGAAGACCTGCGTCGTAGTTCATCTGCAAACCCATTGATTGTATTCACATTCGATGAACTAAAAACCATCACTGACAACTTTAGACAAGATCACATGCTGGGTGGAGGTGGATTTGGAAGCGTGTTCAAAGGTTTCATAGCTGAAGATCTAAAGAAAGGACTTCGGCCAATTCCAGTTGCTGTTAAGGTTCATGATGGGGATAACAGTTTTCAAGGTCACAGGGAATGGCTGGTAACTCTTCAAATTGTCAATAGTGATTTACTCTACCTCTTTATATGTGCAAGTAACATTTCCAATAATTATTGGAGTGGTTTGTGCTTTTCAGGCTGAAGTCGTATTCTTGGGGCAGCTTTCTCATCCAAATTTGGTGAAACTTATTGGCTACTGCTGCGAAGATGAGCACAGGGTGCTAGTGTATGAGTATATGCCTCGGGGAAGTGTAGAAAATAATCTATTCTCCAGTAAGTATTTCATAGTAGTCTTGTCCAAAGCAAAAAGAAGGAAAGATTCTTCAAAATGTTGAATAAGAAGTTTAGACATGCTATTGTGCATTGACGCTCCCTGCCTTCTTTGCCATCACTTTTGGTAGCTTTATGATATCATATCCCCAATGCCACATTCTTGTTATAGGGGAACTAGTCTCAAGTTTGAGTGAGCTACTCCTGATTATTGATCGGAGAGGGCCTCAGTTGCACAGCCATTTTGAAGTAAAGTATGTCCACCCATTGTGGTACCAATTAAATCATATGGTGCTCCTTTAGCGTGCTGGTTCCCCTGGCATATCATAGCCTTTCTGAAAGAAAATGATGTTTTTGGAGAATGATTGTTAAATATAGATAATTCATACAAAAATAAAAGAGTTAATTTAGACTTTTTGTTGTGGGTTACATTCTCTTCGTTTGATACCTCAAGAGAAATTTTAGCGTAATTCTGAAACACTTTCAAAGTCCTAGGTTACTGACACCCTAATGCAACAAACTTTTCGTTAATACAGTTCCGATTACAGCAGAATAGATTTAACGCATTCAATGACTCAAGTTTATATATCCAGCAGTCTGTCTCCAGGCCTCTGGAGGAAATAAGAAAATGAGAGGATTGATCCTTAGATGAGTATTTTCTGGATGTCATGATGATGAGTAATGAATTCTCCAACTGTTGTCTGATCATTTTGGGTAAGCAGTATGCCGTGATTAAACAAGCAGGTTCTACGAAGTTGTCTGCTCAAATATGTACTTGAAAGTTTCAGAGTCGATATGCCTGATTCAAGTTTCCTTTGATTTGCATTTCTCTTCCTGCACATTCTGCTGCTCAAATACCCATTGTAGTTTCCTACTGTTACAGGAGTCTTGCTTCCTCTTTCTTGGTCTACTAGAATGAAGATTGCATTTGGTGCAGCAAAAGGACTTGCTTTCCTGCATGAAGCTGAGAAACCTGTCATCTACCGCGACTTTAAAACATCTAATATTCTATTAGATCTGGTTAGTTATCAAAATACCTTCACTTGTTTCTCAACTTTTCTTGAGTTAAGCATATGCTTGTTGATGGCGAAAATACAAATGTAATGATGCAGCTAAGTTAGGCCGATTGTATAGAGTAATGTAACTGCATTGATTCATTTCTTGAGAAGTCAACAAAAAGATGTAATCTGGTGCTTCTCGATTGATCACTATTTGGATCATTGTCAGTTATTTTGGTTGTCCTTGTTTGCCAATTCTGCGGTAGCTGACTATCATTGCTGCCACCCTATCCAAGTAGAGGTCAGAGAAGTAGCTTTTTTACGTGGAAATTGTTACAGCCAAGGACGCATAATTTTCCACTTTTGAGAATAATCTGATTGAGGATTGCTGAAACACAATCATCACGAAATGGCTTGTGTGAATGCATTCCTTTGGCCTGCCAAGCTGGTGACCTCATTTGTTTGAAATTAGATGATGTATGCTTCAAAGGGGTCATCAAAATTTAGTATTCGTAAGAAGATGATACAAATCTTGTTCACCTTTTGATGTCTTAATGACTGGTTTGGCTTACGAGTGTAATTTGTCGTGTTTACAAACAGGACTACAATCCAAAACTGTCTGATTTTGGCCTGGCAAAAGATGGACCAGTTGGCGATAAATCTCATGTTTCTACTCGCATAATGGGCACGTATGGTTATGCTGCACCAGAATATATTATGACAGGTTAGTTTCTTATTCCTATCCTGGTGGAACTCATCTGACGCTTGCCAGCAATGTACTTTAAAGAAAGTGCACCATTTTAAATGTAATCAGCGAGATCACTACTTGCTGTAATTGTAGGATAGCATCATCAGGTTTTGGTTGGTTTCATTTGATATTCCTACTAGATTGTTGGTGAGAGATCTCGGGTTCTTTTTTTTTTTTTTCCCTCCTTCCTTTTGTTGCTTATACCCTGATTCTGACTTTGTATTAGGTCATCTGACTCCCAGAAGTGATGTTTACAGCTTCGGGGTAGTCCTTCTGGAGCTTCTAACAGGTAGAAAATCTTTGGACAAATGTAGACCAGCCCGGGAGCAGAACCTGACTGATTGGGCAGTGCCCTTGCTCCGCGAGAAGAAAAAGTTGCTTAGCATTGTAGATCCAAGATTAGAAGGAGAATATCCAGTAAAAGGTGTTCACAAGGCAGCTATGTTGGCTTATCACTCCTTAAATCGCAACCCAAAAGCACGCCCTTTGATGCGAGACATTGTAGATTCCCTGGAGCCTCTCCAGGACCATTTGGAGCAAACTCCTCCAAATGAAAAGCCTACTTTGACAGTGATTTGTGAGAACTCTGATGGAGGCATCCAGAGGAAAGATACGCTGCTAACATGACATTCTTTGCTATAGTGTTTTGCAATTTGAAATCAGAAGTTTTTTGACATGTAGAATTGTACTGTTGTATGCAGGTTTAAAGCAAAGATTAGTTTAAATTGTTTTATATGTTTTCAAATCATAAGATGGCAGGTTTAACGTATCACCTGCTCGTTTTGTGGTTGGTAAGACTAGTGCTTTTGCAGCAGACTGCAGTGTGTACCAATACGAAAACCTGATGTAGCTTGTAATGCAGGTTATTTGAGTAAAAAATGCATACCAAGTGAAGTGATTTGGCATATCCCTTTGAGAAGGTGCGCAAACGAATTGAGCCACTCGCGCGTCAAGCTCGACTCGAGCTCGAGTTGGTCGAGTCAATCTCGAGCTCAAAATATTAAGCTCGTTAGTTCGCAAGCTGATTCGCGAACTCGGGTATATATATATATATATATATATTTATGTTTTATTTTAATAATAAAATTACATATATATTCTTCATATTTTATTATTTATTAAGAAAAAGTATTATTTTATTTATCTTTTTTAAAAAATAAAATAATTATTTTTATTTTTTCGAGCTCGAGCTAGAGTTTCAAAATTGTCAGTTCATCAAATTTGATTTCGAGTTCGATAAAACTAAGGCCTTGAAAATCACCTTTTTATCTCGCATATATCAAATCGCTAAAGTAATTTTTCTACAAAAAATCTAGAAAAATGCAATCCAAACACAACCTTAAATCAAGACTTGATTCGATTCGGTCAACATTCGACTCGACTCGGGTCCACTCGCTTGCAGCTCTATCCTTGAGCAACTAAATAGGCTTTTGACAGGAGGGTTAATTCGTTGAGTTGTGATCAGACGGTTGTTTAGTTTAGTAGTAGCATTCAAGTATTTTTGTTGCTAATGAAAATTTGATATGATTGGAAGGAGGAGATATAATGTATCGGGGTGCATTTCCATTCAGTGCCCGTAGCGATTTTGAGAGGAGAATAGCCTGATGATTCTTCCTACAGCCACTAAATTATTTGTTCAAATCGTACACTTTTGGCCATTCAAGTATTTTTTTTTGTTTCGATATAATCACTAAACTCTTAAATCAGTATAAGAGTGGTCATTTTGTCAGATATTTATTAGCCATTAATCTATTCAAATTGTACATTTTTTGCTATGAAAAGATCTTTTTGTTTCAAATTGCCCATCCCGTCAAATATTTATTAGCCCCCGATCTATTCAAATTGTACATTTTTTTTACTACCAAAAGATCTTTTTGTTTCAAACCGCCCATTCGACTTAGCAGAATGATATATCAATTACAATTGCATTGGTTTTTCTCTTCTTTTTTTTTTTTTTTTTTTCGTTGCCCGCCCGGTATCCGAAGCTTTGCTCCGACTAATCCGGATCCGACCCGCGTCGCGCACCTGACTATGGTGGGTGAGTCTCCCAACAGGGGTGTCTGCGTACACTAGGACTCGAACACGAGACCTGCTTAAGTGAATCCGAACCGCTTACTACTCGGACCAACCCCTGTTGGTCTTCTTTTTTTTCAATAAACGTTAATATCATTGTATATATTAACACTTGAAAATACAAGGGTTAATTATAAAAAGGGGCCTCAGTCCTCCGGTCAAATTTTTTTTTTTGGTCAAAAAAAAGGATTTGGCCCCACTTCAGGCCCAACCCTTATTCGGGTTATTGGGTTATTCCCTATTTTTGTGACAAAACTCGAACATTGGATCTCGGGTGTACTAATCCTTAGTGAGACCAGCTTGGCTGCCTTGGAGGGTGTCCTCCAGTCAATTGTTGGCTGCTTTTACTAGCCAAGTTGGGAAGTTGTTTTCCCAATTTATGTCATTAATTAGTTTTGTTGTAAAATGTGCTAACCTATGACTTTCTACATTAGCTGATCTAGGTATAAAAGAGATTGTGCATTTCTCAAAACCTTTAATTATGTTCTCAATGTTTTCCACAATTTTTAAGGTTTTTTAGATTTTTCAATTAATAAAAAAACAAAATTTAGAATATATAAGAGTTTCTTTGATATATTTTGATTCATAAGTTTTGACAAAAAAATTTAAATTATATACTGAAGTTTTGGTGAATTATTTTGAAGATTATTAAAATTAAATGAAAATAATAATAAATCTAATGGCAAGATTGAATGAAAGATTAGAAATTATACTATTTTGGTGAGTTGAGTGGCCAACTTGAACAAAAAATAATTGAATGGCTAAAACAATATTTTGTTTGCATAGCTAAATAGCTATTTAAGATTTTTAGATGAATTTACCTATTCGTGTTTAACCTGTGTGGTACACTTGTAACTCATCTCATTATTTTTTTTTTTTACGAAACGATAAGATTTTGCATTGACTAAAAGAAAATATACATATGCGAGCAACGGCTCGAGAGACTTAACAACAAGTGCTCAATTGCACTGAGGAAAATACCATTCCTCATCCACAACAATGCCTAAGGCATAAGAACTTAAACTTTTACATACTGTCATAGCATTTTCCTTTGCTACCTCAAAGGAGCACATACGAAACATTTTCTGTAATTCGGTAATATCATCAGTCAGAGTTGTTAGACAACTGTCTCGAGAGCTCGGATTCATTAACTGTCTTAATAACTCTTTGTTCTGGAGCAGAATTTTGATTTTGTCCCAGTGCTGCTCCAAAGCTTTACACAAGACCAGTTTAACTGCTGCTGCATCATCAAGAAGCTTGATTCCTAGAGATCTCTCCCTTAGTGCCCATTCTGCAACCCTTGTGTGCTGAAAGGTCTCAGCTATAACTCCAATTCCCATTGACAATTGCCTTTGTCGACTAGTTGACACCACTTGTAGAACTATGGACTCCTCATCCTCATTTTCCTGATTGTGCGTTGACTGAGTAGAAACTGTTTCTCCTGTGCTCATTCTGTCCTTGGCTTTCCTTATCTCCTCATGCTCTATCCACTCCTTCTGAGCCTTGTTTATTGTCCTCACTGGATGGCTTCTATTTTGGCCTTCGAAGAGTTGTTTGTTTCTTTCCTTCCACACTTGCCACAAAATGTTTGCCGTCAGTCCGATATGCTGTAATCCATCTGGTCTTGCCTTTGCCTCTGATATCTTACACCACCAACGTTTAAACTCTCCTTGCTGATCTCTTACTCCATCCCATTGAATTGGGGCCATCTTCCATACGTCTGAAGTGTTTGAACAGCTTAAAAGGAGATGTTCCACTGTCTCCTGGTGCTCCCCACAGGCTCTACAAAACGGATCACCCATTCCTGTCCTTCTAAAAATTGCTTCTCTAACTGGCAAAGCCCCTGTAATGCACTTCCAAATAAACAGTTTAATCTTATGCTTTATGTTTAACTTCCAAAGGGTATTCCACATCTGCCTCATTTGTTGGCTCCCTTCCCCTATGCTTGGACCTGTTTCTTTGGGTTTTCCCCTCTCAGACCTACCCTTTTCCTTCATGAGAAAATTGTATCTAGATTTGACAGAATAACAGCCTCCCCCATTATGTTGCCAGAAAAAACTATCTTCCTTGCCTATTAGACTTATAGGAATGCTCAATATTCTCTGTGCATCGTTCTGGTTAAAAATTCTGAAAATGGTGTTTCTGTCCCAACACTTATGCCTGATAAGCTCCTGCACCATTTTCATTGAGTTGACACCAGGCCTTGGGGTAGTAGGCTTACCAGAGGTTGTTCCTGGGATCCATTTATGCTCCCAGATGTTTGTGCTTCTCCCATTCCCAATCTTCCGGATCACGCCTTCTTCTATGAAACTTCTGGCTCCTAGCAGCCCTTTCCAAATCCACGAGGCATTTTGTTGTGCTTTACACCTGAATATTGATACCTTGGGGAAATACTTAGCTCTGAGAACTTTGCTAACAAGAAGGTTTGGCTTGGTTAATAATCTCCACAGCTGTTTCCCCAACAAGGCCTTGTTAAAGGCCTCTATATCTTTGAATCCCAAGCCTCCTTTAGGCCTGTCCAGAGCCAGTTTTTTCCAAGACAACCAGTGTAACTCATCTCATTAGGTTAGCCGAATTTGGACGGAATAGTCACTAACATATACATTTATGAATTGAGTAAGCAGAATAATTTAATAGTTGCTAGCATGTAACATTTAATAAAAAGTTATTTTTAACCTATATATATATTTTTTTCCAAAACACAACTGGAGTAATTGTGCAGCACCCAAAAATTAACAAAACACGACAAAGGAAAAAAGAATTGATGCTAGCTAACCTTCGAAGCCAACAAAAGGAGGATTAAATTGAAGAGCAAATTGGGTAGGTTAGGACTGCAAACGAACCAAGTCGAGTCGAGTCTTGACTTAATTTTATTAAGTTCGAAATTAATTCAAATTTGAGTAGAGCTCGAACTCGAAAAAATAATAAATAATAAAATATTAAAAAAATAATTTTATTATTAAAATAAAAATAATTATATATATATATATATACTCGACCTCGCAAATAGACTTGTAAATTAATAAATTTAATATTTTTAAATTCGAGTTCAATTTAATCAATTCGAATTTAATTCGAGTGACTCGATTGCGAGTAGAGGTGGATGAATGTCTACAGCAATGGGACTCGGAGCAGAAAATGCAAAAGACAGCCGGGGGCAGATGAGAAAAGTTCCAGAGTGTTCTGGTAAAGATGCTGCAAGGACAAGAGCCAAATTGATGAAATGAAACCAAGAAAATACTCCCTTGTAATTTAGCGGAAGATTCAAGACCCAACTCGACCGTATATCCTAAACCCTTCACTCTTGCTTTTCTTTCATACTCCCACTCTCCTATCCTCTTTCTTTTATTTATTGCTTGGGGTCCTATTATTTATTTATTGTGTCTATTTGGGTAGCTGCTGCCGCGTTGGTGAGCCTCACTACCCACCGACACAGTGATAGACAGGCAAAGGAAAGAGATAAACCCCCTTCCCCTTCCAGTCTTCCCTTCTCTCCTGCAATCTCTAAACCCCAGAGCAGACCCAAAAGGCCCCAATATTTTCCTCGCCCCGCCGTCTCTCCTTTTTCTCTGTTAGTGTAAGTTTCACCCTTTTTCTCTATCGCTACCTCCTTGTTGTCTGTGTGTCTTTATTTTCTTTCTGAAATGGTCTCTTTCTTTGTTTCTCTAATTACATATTTGGGCATTGGGATTTGGATGGATGAAAGCTCGAGTCTTTTATCATTCTTATGCATAATATATCTGCTGCTGTCTACCTGCTCTACAGTACACCATGATTTTTTTTTTCCTTTTCCTTTTCTGCTGCATAAGTATGTATAATGGTTCTTAGTTATTAATTC